ATCGTTAATGGATTTCCCTGGCAATGAACCACTTCCCTGAAACACTTTCATGTAAAGTCGTGCCCTGCAGATTCATCCGTCGTGGCCGTGGAGCTCAGCATGATGACACAGAGTTTGACATCGAGGTTGATGAAGCATCCGTGGTGGATGGCTTACGTGACTGGCTAGACCATCCGAAGGGTCCCCTTTGGGAGGCAGTCGCCCCGGGTGATAAGAAGTTGACGAAATATTTAGCACCTGGCACAGTATCTGATCTGTATACCCATTACCAGTCAACTCGTCAGTTGTTTGGTGCTGTTGCGGTGTCGTATCTCGGCCCATTACTCTGAAAATCAACGGTGAATTTTGCATTTAAGTTTTAGTGGTTGTAATTATGTAATTTTATCTTTGCCTCACATGGCCTTAAACCCAAGATAATTCCTGCAGGATGATGGTTGTTTCTGAAAAGTCGTTGCCATGCGATTGAGGTATTCCACCTTCTTACGTGTTTACCAATCCAGATGGTCTGACATCTTGAAGTTCCGCAACCAATCTATGTGCCTTGCATGTGCTTTGAAGAATCAACGTGTTTAAACAATACTTTTTTTGATTAATATCAATCAAATAATCATCAAATAAGGGTTGGGAATTGTCTTCATTTCTCAACTTTGACATCGGATTGTTTATCACATTGAGAGGTTCACTCAGTGTGAAATCTGCTATCAACTAAAGCAGAGCATGGCACAAGCAAAGAACATGGAGGCACGGTTGGGGGCCTTGCTGGAATATCGGTCACACCTTGCCTCTCAATATGCAGATCGTGCTCTCAACTGGTCGCTTCAAGAACTGGGAGGTGATGAGATGGCAGACACCCTCGTCCTTCAGATAGACGGGATGGACCAAAGCAAGTTCCGGCTGCCACGAGACCCCATGCTGCGTTCAACAGCGTCACTGGCCAAGTACAATCGGCCGAGGCTGAAAGTCCACGCGCTGTGGATATTTGGTCTTTTGGCTTCTAGCCTAAGGTTCTTTTTAACAAGTGCAGCCAATCTACAGTTTGGGGCTGATGATTCGATTTAATCCACACTTGAAGGCTAGGATCATTATTTTGACTAGCCATTGGACCACTGGAGGTTTTTCACTTGAGATCCACGTCATGGATGAATGTACAAGACACGATTCAAGCTGTGTCACTGAGATCATAGCACGTGGACTTGAGCGTGTACAGGAAATCTGCCAGAGAAGAGGCCGTGGTGTCCCCACACGCCTTGTGGTGTGTGGGGACAACACGGTGAGAGAGTTGAAAAATCAAATCAATTTGACATATATATCAGCATTAGTCTCCAAGAGAAAAATGAGGCTTTCCGCCTTAGCTTTTCTTAGGAAAAGCCACACACATGACAGGCTAGATCAAATATTTGGAATATTAGCCCGGCGAATCGCATCTGAAGACAGGCTCATGGACCCATCAGACACAATCCGCATCATCACCACTGAGTTGAGCCGACCCGGACTTCGCTCTTGGATTGGAAACAGCACAGAACTGCACGTCCAGAAACTGGATGCCGTCCGTGACTGGAAGACGCACTTGCAGGGCTTTGGGATTTCACTCAGTGGGGGTTTGCTGGAAGATTCCACCGGAAATCATTTTTTCCTGATGATGCAGCGAAAAGGTTGGGGTACCCAAATCCATGCATATATCATACCAATCACAACTATTTTTTTGAAGTAAAGCAACCCCCACAAATGGGAATGGTGGAACAATTTTCTTATTAACTCCATTGATCAGTATATAATCATAATATCCTTTTGGCTTCCCAGCCATCATGTTGGCTTCCCAGCCATTGCTATTTTTCGTTGGAAAGACATCTTGCCCTGAGATCTACCTGAGATCCTGGCTGGCAACGTCAATGCGGGGAGCTTTCGAGGCCCTCCCCAGCAAGCAGATGTAGTCTGCCTCATCAAGCGCTACATCAGCTCTGGGACATTGTCCCAAGACCCTTTGCTGGTTCTTCCTGAGAGTAGAAGTGGTTTGGTAGATCTTCATTTATCACTGAAGCACCATTGCTATTTGAATTTGGCATATATTTTTGAGCTGTTGCCATTGCCCTGATTTATCCTAGAATTGTTTGGATGTCCAATATCCAGTGATGGTATTTCATGCGTGAGGCACGCCAACAACCATTCTGAAGCCTTCAAGAAACAATGCTTGGCTCTGGCAACTGGCATTTTCGAATCCTATGGTCAATCCTATGAGAAGGCAATCAAGTACCTGAAGGACTACATCAATATTATGATATTTTTACTATGCATCCCTTCCTTACTTTTCGGGCGTCCCTTATGGGTTTGGGAATCCCCTTCCATCGCTCCAATCTGCAGGATTTGGCATCGAACCGATACTGGGATGAGGCTGTGTTGCCTCCTTTACCGTGGCATCAAATGGCTGGCAATCCAGGAATTGGAGCTCCACAGCTGAGTCTCCACAAAGTAATTCTGGAGGCAATAGCCCCTGCGATGCCCTTGAAGGCAGTTTTCTCTGGAATCCGACGTTGACCCACCAGTCATCCTATCCCATGATGAATAATCTAAATAACTTGGTTGGGATATCTATGGCAAAATATGATTCAAATAAAATCAAATCTCTGACTGACTGGTAGGTCCTACAGTTAGAAAATTGATCAGGCATGTCGTGCCACAAATGGAGAGATCAAAAGAAATCGTTAGCACCATATTACAGCTGAAATTTACAACTTCAGTTTCAAACATCCTATGGACTTTTCATGGCTTTGAACCACCCTGCCTACTGAGCCTGGGTCTGAGGCCAGCACGGTGGTCCATGTCTGGCGCTCAAACCTGGCCAGGCACAGCACAGCTTTCAGCTCATTCACAAGTCTATTTGTCCAATCTCAATTACTGATTGCGGACCAGAAAATCCATATGGGGAGGCCTACAACTTTGACGAGAATTTCAAAAATATCAAGTGACTCAGACTGAGGCCTGATGATAAATCGTTGATGCACTTTCAGGCCAGGGATTGATCAATGCACTTTTGAACACAAAATCCATCGATGCACTTTTGAGCTTTGGGGGGGCCAAATTCATCGATGCACTTTTGAAACCAAATCCACCGATGCACTTTTGAAATCTTGGGGTTCAAAATTCATCGATGCACTTTTGAAACCAAATCCATCGATGCACTTTTGAAATCTTGGGGTTCAAAATTCATCGATGCACTTTTGTAACCAAATCCATCGATGCACTTTTGAAATCTTGGGGTTCAAAATTCATCGATGCACTTTTGAAACCAAATCCATCGATGCACTTTTGAAATCTTGGGGTTCAAAATTCATCGATGCACTTTTGAAACCAAATCCATCGATGCACTTTTGAAATCTTGGGGTTCAAAATTCATCGATGCACTTTTGAAACCAAATCCATCGATGCACTTTTGAAATCTTGGGGTTCAAAATTCATCGATGCACTTTTGTTTTTTTGAGGCTGGAAATCGACTTCATCGATGTACCTCGAGGCTCCAGGTGCATTGATGAAAGTCAAGTTGAACCGGAGCCCAGGGCCACACTTTGTGCATTGAAGGAACTTCTGATTCTTTAACCTTTCATCAATGTACCTGGAGGCTCCAGGTGCATTGACTTTGAATGCTATGGGTATGTCACATTGATGCAACTTGATGTCACCTAACATGGGCATAAATCACGTACCTCCAATAACCAGGGAATCAATGCACCTGGAGGCTCCAGATACATTGATGAACTTTTAAGTAGGAGAACCTTTGATCAATGCACAATCATTGAACGCCACTTGACTAGCATGTAAACGCCGTTCTTTTGAGGATCAAATTGCCAATAAGCTTTTTGGGCTGGGACCGGGATAGGTCCTTCAACGGCAGGGATTGCCATTCAGTTGTTGTTTCTATGGGGCCGCCTCTGAAGATGCTTGAGACGGTGAACGCGAAGTTGAAACCAAAGCCTGAGGGCGAAGTCAAAGAGGAGTCCAAAGCTTGCTCGACACCTTCCCCTTCCAAAAAGCTAGCTACTGAGATGGGAAAGAAGATCAGCTGTTTGCCCGGGGATACATCTCTTGTGAAGGAGCTAGTTGAACACTTGCTACAGTTTACTGGGGAGGGTCTGAACTTGGACTGCCTACACCCAGCACAATATGTTTTGGACTGTCTCTGTGGTCCTCACAAGGGTCAATTTGCTACACAATTGGAAAATTGGTACGAATCCTACGCTGACTTCCGTGGGATCAAGCCCAAAGCCTTCCAAGCTACTAGCTGTTCTGCTGGGAACTCAGGTGCAATATATCATCATCCCAACTCATTTTTGTCAATCCAATGCCAACAGTTTGATTTTTACTGACGTGATGTGAGGTGAGCTTTGATGAACATATTTGTTAAGCCCCTTTGATCCCTTCATGCATGAGGTCATCAACGTCAACAACGTCAGTGAAGAGACCTGGAAGCTCCCCTTGGTGTCACTGAAGTGATTTGGTTAACATTAATGGTTTGCCCTTTATCTGCGTGATCCAACAGTTGAACCTGAGAATCCATCAAACATATTTGGTCAGAATCTGACTGCAAATTGAACATCAAGCTAAGGTATGATGTGCCAGAGGATGGGCTGCCATCCATCGATGATTGGGTGACCACTTGCACCTCCATGTTGCTGGATGGGTTGGACTTGCAGCGAGAACCACTCGATGTTTGTGCCAGATCCCCAGTCTTGGTCATATGTCATTCAAAATCATTTGCAAGTCTTCTAACACAAGGTTTTTACCTTTTACCCCAGTGATTTTCACCAACCCGGAGCCCTTAAGGTCCCACACGCAAATGCCGATGGTCTCTTGGCCCAATTGGCAACGCTCACTGCGCACTTGCCTGCACATGGTGTGAGTGACATTGAGGGAAACAAGACATGCACTACTCAAACGCCTCTGGGCCCAAATCTTTACAACCGAGTGAACTTTCAGATCCCTCTAAGACTCTAGTAGCCCTTAGTGCCATGGATGATGGGAACCGGGGCTGGAACTACGAGCAACAGCCCCAGACCAGACGGGAAGATGTGGGTGACACCAGGTTTATGAAACTTCATCACTTGGAGAAACAAAGCCGAGACAACAGGGACCTCTTGAGATTCATTTGCCAGACTACGGCCAAGGGACATGGCAAGGGTTTCCCAGATTGGCTAGCCTCCTGGAAGCAATGCCGATTGGCTTCAGTCAACTGTGATGCCAACTGCTTAGAAGGCCGGGGTTACAAAGAAAGTCTTAGCTCTTAAAAAGGTATAACAATGCTTACAAAATCTTTCTTACTATTACATCAACTAATTAAACTTAGATTGCTTTACACTATCATGACTCCAAGCACTTCTCTTTGTGAAAGATACCATCTAATTATCAACCAACTAGTTTATTTCGATATCGACTATCATTCTGATATTAGTTTCTTTTTTACAATAAAATGCAAAAACACGTGAGCCTGATATTGACTCTTCAAACATTCTCCTGACTGTCAGGTGCTTTTGAGAGGAACATGCGGACTGGTGAATGGAGGTGGATCAACAGGGGCTATGAGTTCGGATGGCAGCAGGAAACTGCTCAGTGGACTCGCGATGGCAAGGGTCAGATGGTGCCTGGGCCTAGAGGCTCCTGGTCTGTGAGAGGCCATGGGGGAAAGTGTGGTGGAGGTGAAAATTGGAAAGGTGACGTGATCCTGGATCCAAGATTCAACGCTGGTGCCGCTGCTGGCTCTCAAGAATGTGGCGGGCTTACTCCTCAGAATTTTGATGGCCAGCACTCTGGGATGATGGCAGACCCTGGCACTGGCATGCAGCCAATCCCTTCGCCACCCAAGCAGCCACCACCTGGCATCAATGTGCGACCACCTGGACCACCTGACACAGTGCCACCATTTGGACCAGCTGACACTGGGCCGTCTACGCGACCTCGTACCCCTCCCCGTCGTGCAGAGGATCAAGGGCCGTCTACGCGACCTCGTACCCCTCCCCGTCGTGCAGAGGATGAAGCAGCAGAAGCAAGGGCAGCTCAGAAAGCCAAGGCAGCACCTCCAGGTCTCAGTGCCAAGTGAATCACTTGGTGCGTTTTCCACTTTGAAGTTTCCATGATGGAAAGAAAGTCCAAATGGACATACTGGACGTCACAGAAATCTCCAAGATTTGCGTGAGACAAAAAAAGAGCAATGTGACCTTCAAGTCATTGTTACTCTGTTACCATTCCATGGCATTCACCTTTAAAATCGATTACCTTCTCTTTGAACTGAGGTTCTGGGAATATGCCTGTCAACATCTTCACGACCGACATTGTGAAGGGTTGGACCAGAGCCACATGCGTCGCTTGGATCCTGCTGGCCTTCAGCGAACTGGACACTGAGCTGGAAGACACCAGGGCTCGCTTGAAACCCGTGGAGAGGTTTTTGGACCGAGCATGGCTGATCCCACAGAATGCCCCTAAGAGATGTTGAAACCTTTTTTAGAACCGATTTCAAAAAAAGATTTTGGGTATTATTATGTTTTTATTTTTGAGCCTTTTGGGCCATGCAGCAACCCTTGACCCTTAGGTTTCCATGGGCATGAGCAAAGACCAGCAATCATTCAAGAACTTGAGTCTCTCCTTTAGAGGCGCTGAACGCCAGCCCCCTTCGGTGCTGCAGATGGCCTTACGCTTTTCGGTCATCATCGACCGACAAGCCAGCTCGATGACAGGAAACACTGAGGCCAGGTTGAAGAAAGTGATCCAGCAGTTCAATGGCTCAGCTGGGCTTCACGTTAAGCACCAGGTTGACAGTGAGAAGGAACGCACCATTCTGAATCTCATCATCGGCACTTCGAAGGCTTTGGTTTGCTTCAAAAAAAATCGAAACTGTTGGAATGTTTCGGGGAGGTGTTCTTGTTGCTTTTTAAAAGGTGGTTGTGATATGTTGTGTTTTTTGCCCCAATGCAGGAGACAAGGGAAATCATGACCCAACACCTGGCCTTCGCAAAGTGGAAAGAAAGTGCTTTTTCCACCGAGCAGTTGAAAGGAGTTCGATGGTTACTTGGGGCACGACCCAGAGGTTTACCTGAAGCCCTGTTGGAGCCATTGACTATGACACCAATGGCGCAATCCATGATGATGCAGCTTCATGTGAAGAAGTTCCTGCAGGACACACGTCGAGTGAAAGCCTCTGCCAAGAAGTTTGTCCGTGCCAGCCAGGAAGACTTTGACAAGTTGTCGGACTATGCTTGCATCTTTGCTTATCTACGCCAAGCTGCCAAGGTTGCAACTTCTGACAGCAAGGTCGATGACAAACTGCTGGAAGCTTTCATGGCCCGGTCACTTGATGTAAAATCTATATTATATCTATGTTCAGCTCGAGTCAATAAGTTTCAAAAAATATGGCAATGGTTTGATCAAAATTCCAAAGGAGACCTTATGGGTGTTTACCAAGCATATGAAACCAGTTACCAGGGCATTGTAAATTCATATACAGTAATAGTATCAGACCACAGGAAACAGTTGTTATCAGGCGTGGTTACCAGGCCATTGTAAACCCAAGCGACACCTTTTGGTATGAAGTATCATCAAATAATTTAATCACATAGGGGTTTTTGGTCGAGTTCTTCATCTAAGGGACTACTTCAGTGATGTGGAAGCTGTGGTCGCTTCCAAGAATCCTGACTTCCAGTTGGGGAGCCTGATTGTTTGGACTGACTTGGTGGAACCCCCGACTTTGCCACAGGCCTTGCAAGGGGATGAAGGAGCTGATGTGTTGGCCGCGCAGGAAGCGGCGCAATCATCCAAGTTTGCGGAGGTGAAGGTCAAGCTTGCAGCAGATTGCCAAGCCATGAACAAGTTCAACACTGAGAAACACCAAGCAGAAGGAAAGAAACATGTGGCCAGGGTTCTTCACGAAAAGTCCCAACTTCAGACTGGGGGCAAGTGCCTTGACATGAAAACTTTTAAATAGATATATATATATATACACGCACACTTAATTTTCGTTTTTGTTCTTTATATTACAATATGTGAAGTTGTATACGTTATTATCGTATGTTCTTTCCACATATACACATCGTTCAAATATACATGTATGTATGCTCATCAAAAGCTGACTTAACTTTTGTGTTTCAACCATGGGGCCTTCAATCATCTTCAAATGATTGTTTACTGCCAAGGGTGGTGGAGGAGTTCATGAAGAACCATTGCTGGATGGGCCTCGTCGGTGACTGGAATATCCCTGCTGAAGTGGATGTCATGATCCGTGCATCAGCAGCCCGCAACCAGGCAAGTATTTTAGGTTGCACAAAAGGGAACAATCACATTCCCAAATCAATTTTTTGTTTGCAATTTTTGGTTTGTAATCAGTTTTGGTTTGCACTCATCCCACAAATGCTGGCAGGTCTCAGTGGACAAGATTGCTGTGGTGGGTTGGGTCGACTTGACAAAAGTTGGGGTGCTGACCCAGAAGGACATCAATAAAGCAGGTCAGTGGTGTGAGAAAATCATTGCCAAGAGCCCTCTGAGTTGCTTGGTGGTCTTTTAGCATTCTTTTAGCAGCTGTGATTTTTGTCAGTCCCTTTTTTTAAAGACTGTCATCAGAAGAAACAAATTTCCATGTTGAGGTGCCGCTGTCATTTTGGCTTTGCCACTGCTTGCTTCGACGGTTGGGTGTGGGGCATTGCGCAAGGACATCCGGAATCTCGGGCTACGTGTTAGCACTTTTTTTTTTGGTGCTGTTCAAAAAATGTGGTTATATAATACATTTGTGAAACACCACAAGATTTTGTGATTGCCCAAACCACTCTTCAAAGGAAGTTGGAAGACAAACTTGTCGACCACAAACTGGAGTTTCGCAGCTTCTTCCTCCCCATGGATCTCACTGGGCTGCATCACAAGAGGGACATGCCAGGTGGCTTCACATTCTATATGATTGTGTCTGACAGTTGCCTCCCAGCCAAGGGCACTGCACATCGCGCAAGCCGTTCTGCTGGCAAGGCAGCGGGTTTGAACTTGTTCCAGTTCCAAAAAGTTTAGATTAGATTGGTGCTGGCTTGAATCTCCCAAAGCTTTAAAACACAGCCAAAAAAATAAGGAAATATTAGGTACAACTATAAGATAGTTGACCCTTTTTATTGGTGACAAGAGAATCAAAAATCAACTTCATCAAATTTTTCAGAGAGGGTTTCAACTCAGAACCAATCATTAGTGTTGAAATTTCCCTGTATCAGGTTGACCGAGAGGCTGTCAACATGTTTTGCTTCAGCAAGCTTTGGCAAAGCCAAATTGTGTCATCAGCTGGGCGTGCGATCGACGAGAACCAGTTTATCGTCCCTGGCACAACCTGTGTTGCCGCTTCCCATGAAGGCCGTCGGAACTTGACTGACGTTCAAGAGACAAGTCAATGGATTGGAGGCGAGCAAATCCCTGAGCTTATCCTGAAAGACCTCATGTCATGTGACCTGGCTGGTTTTGGTTTATGTTTATGTATATTTACTAACATATACGTTCTCACACAAACATATATATATATATTATATTGCTTGTATTTATGTTGTATAGTGTATTTATCAATTTTCTTTACCATCATCAACAAAAACAAAGCACACTGACACACAAACCTGGTTTTTGTCACACCTCAATGCCTTGAGGTGGAACAGATGTACCTCCTGCGGTTGTCATCCATGCCACCATGTATGACGGATGTCTTGAAAAATCTTGCGTCAACATGTCAATTCCATGTGTCAGCCAGTCAGAGAAGCAATCGCACTATGTGACCGCTTTGAAGCTCACAAAGGGCCACTTGCTCAACCTCTGGAAGGGCAACCAAGGGGCGATGGCTGACAAGCTACCTCGCTACATGGCAGAGCCCAGTGAGGAGGTATTGCCTTCTGTGCCACAGGAGCCATCACTGAACCTTTGCTCTCTGATCGATGGCGTGCTTTGCTTGCCGCGCAACATACGTGCTGAGTTCTTGACTGATCCAGTACGTGCGCCCGAGTGGCGCCGCATGCTCCAAGAGTTTGACAGAACTTTTGGAACTGAAGCAGAACAAGCACAGCCGGCAGCAGCTGCTGACACCGAAGCCACTGTGGATGCATCGGCTTTTGACTGGGCGGCTGCTTTCAGTGGTGAACCCCGTGAAAAAGATCAATGGCACCGAGACTTTGATGGGAAAATCAACGGCAAGTTTCAATGGTGCCCAGAATTGACGGCATACATCATTGATGCTGGTGATACTCAGGATGCTGAGGCACCCAAGGCTTACCGACTCTATGTGGAGGCAAATGAGGCCTACAAGATCAGTGTGGATGAAGCCTTCCTCACTTTTGGGGCGGGGGTGTGGCTTTTGGATTCCAAAGCTGAATCTTTTCTGGCTGAAAATGCAAATGGTCACAAAGGTGTCCTTTGTGCATTCAAGAGGGATGACAGCCCGGTCATTTTGGAGGCGGGGTTTCATTTATCGTTGCTGATATTAATTTAGTTATATAGTCATACTGTCATACTTGAGTTGTGGTGGTTGGTTTTAGATTTTCTGGTTTTCACCCTTCAGGAGGGCGGTCGTGACTCTGGCCTGATGACTCTGCGGCAAGTCATCCAGCAATGCGAATCGTCAGGGCTTGTGGACATGGAATTGGGTGGCCATACTTACTCTCGGCCAGCGGCGGTTGTGCAGGGTTTGTCAGCTGACTGGTACTTTGGCATTGCTTTGTCAACTGTTTATTTGTTTTTTTCTGGTTTCGCTTATTCTTTCCATTGCATGTTTTTCATTGTTTTTCCCATTTGCCTTCAGGATTGAAGTGGCTCCAAAGACCGGAAGCACAATGTTATGGAGGCCGAACCAGATTCAGTTCAGTGGCTTGCGGGCAACCAATGCAGCGAGCTTTTTCCTTTCCAACCTCTTGGAAGAGAGCCCGGTGTTGAAGAAGGCTCAAACGGTTTTTCCCCAGGATACACACACATATTTATGTATATAATAAAAGATGTTCAAGATAGACAGATCGAGAAATAGATATATAGATAGGTAGGTAGATAGATAGGTAGGTGGGTGGATAGATAGTAGATAGATAGTAGATAGATAGTAGATAGATAGTAGACAGATGGTAGATAGATAGTAGATAGATAGTAGATAGATAGTAGATAGATAGTAGATATGCAGATAGATGGGTAGATAGATGGGTAGATAGATAGATAGATAGGTAGATAGATAGATAGATAGAGAGATAGAGAGAGAGATAGATAGATAGAAAGAAAGAAAGAAAGAAAGAAAATATATATATATATATATATTACGAACATCTTATGACCATTCAAACAATCCCAAAACAATTTTTGTGAAGGATTTGGCATGGCTTACAAAAATGACTTCCCAGCCAGTTCGTGTTTTTCAGGCTTCCCAGCCATTTGATTTCATGCAGGCTTCCCAGCCATGACTCCATGATGGTTTCCCAAGCATATGGCTTCCCGGCCATCTTACCCCGTCCCCTGCCCTAGGTGTGGCGCTTGCGCACCTACCGCGCAGAGAAGACGATCGGCGCAGCCAAGCCAATGTTCTTCCTCAAAGCACCTTTGGAGATGACCAAGGGCATGGTTCAGCGTGTGGTGTGAATGGGGCCAACACAGAGTGGCATCATGGCTAAGCTTCCTTGAAGTCTGAATGGAATATTTCAACAAACATTCAACATCGGGTTAAACACATGAGAGCTCAACTAAAAAATCTGATTGAAAACCTTTGATTGTTCAGTATTTGTCTCCCTGGGGTTCAGGAGCTGAGCCATTGATGAAAACCTGCTAGGTTTTTAGAGGGCTTGACAACATACCTCTGAGATTTTGCTGTGCCGATCATGCTCTGACTAAGAGCTGCACACATCTTTGAGCAATGGGCTTTGGCCATCACGAATCCCGAAGCCTGGAAATCTGTGAAAACGAGTGTAGTCTCATGCCGTTTGCAAGCACCTTCAGACCTTGCAAAGGGATTGACATTCGTGTTTTATATATCAAATTTGCTCAGCTTATGGATCAAGTTTTGGCCCTCCTTTGATCATGGAGGAGCTATCGTTATCGATTGTCATTGAAGATGACGAGATAGAATTTTCTGAGCCCACTCCCGGACAAGCTGGCTTCCATTCCATTGCTTCTGATCTCCCTGCCCATGGTCCTTGCCTTCGCCCTCCCATGCTTTCTGTGCCAGGTCAGCTTGCGCAACCTGTGGAACCAGTACGGGATGAACAGCTGGCCGTCACCCCAACTGGACAGCAACGGCAAGTGTTCACACCTGAATACAGCCAACCAGATGAGAACGCGTTGACACCTGACTACACCGGCTTTTTTCAGGACCAACTAAAATAGTATCTATAGCCTAATTCTTTTATTACAACATAGTATATACATATAGACCATATAGAGTTATGTTTATGTTTATATAAATATAAATAGATAGATATAATATATATATATATACATGCATACATACATTCATACACACATACAAATGTGCCTATGTCTCACCTGCTCGAACCCTGAAAGGATGAAACAAGTGAAACAGCTGAGACTACAAACATGGATGCCATCAACGAAGAGGTTCCTGAGGAGACTACAAACATGGATGCCATCAACAAAGAGATTCCTGAGAAAGGTGATGAAGAGATCCCCTCACCAAATGTGCCTCAGGATCAGCGAGAACAAGAGCATCAGGAAGAACAAGAGCCGCCTGATGCAGACGAAGCCCCAGCTGGTTCAAATGAATCACCACCCCGCAAAAAGAGGGTCTACCTTAAGAACCTCACACCGAACTCCAAGGAAGTTGAGCTCGAACGTCGGAAGCAGGCAAAGAGAGACAACAGCAATCGCTGGCATTCGAAATGGCAGAGTGCTGGTGTTCCAAAGGAATGTGAGGAACCAAACCAAGATCACCAAGAGGAACAGCCCAATGAACCTCACCTAGAGGACCAGCCCAATGAACCTCACCTAGAGGACCAGGTCAATGAACGACATCAAGAACCACCTAATGATGGTGTGGATGGTGCACGTGACGATGGTGATGATCAAATGGCTGAACCTGGTGGTGACGACACCTTCAAACCTACTGCAGAGCTCCTCTTGGATGCCTCTCTCTGCAATGACATGCGGAAAGTTCGCTTTACGTTCATGAAACAATGGTGTGAGTGGAAGGGCGCTGATGATCAAAAAGCAGCTGCACAAGCTTGGCAAGAGAGTGATTTGAGAGCTCAGATCATGGCTGGCCGAAAGAAGGGGCAGTACTGACCACGACCAAAAGATGGAATCTTTGAGGACCTTGTGTCCGTCTTACATGGCATCAACTGAGCGAGGTTAAAAAAAACATGTTTTGCCACTCTCAGTGCTTGTCCAAGAAATTGGCACCTGTTCTAACATTGACATGTTCTTTTGAATCAGCTTGTGAAAGAATTTTCACCCATTCTACATGGTTCTTGACCCACAACATACGCCTGCAGGCCCCCGCCTTCGACAACATCTTGATCTCCATCAACTTCCATAGCGTTGGTGGATCTGAATATTATGCAGTAGATTCCTGTTTGTATTGAGGGCTGGGAAGCCCGTAGGAAGGCTGGGAGAGCCGTTTGAAACAAACATATAAACACGGAGTTTGTTTACACTTGGTTTTCTAAGGATGTGCTTCCATGACAAAGAAATATTTGATGGGGCATCTTGGAATTTGAATATAGTACTAAATGTCAACGTGTTCATTCATTTTGGGATATTTCAAAAATTGGTATACCTCAAAAATAACTGAAGATATGCTCTTGTTCAGATATTATTGCTATTATTTATTAGTTTGATTTACTCTGGTGTTATCGTTAGTTTGACAAATTCTGTGAAATCAATCTTTGGACACAATGTAGCTATCTTGAGCAAACAACAAGCTTCACATCCCTCCCATCCCGCACCACTGGCTTACCAACTACAACTGCAAAGGCTTCCCAGCCCCAAGGCTTCCCAGCCCCAACTGCAAAGGCTTCCCAGCCCCAAGGCTTCCCAGCCACAACTGCAAAGGCTTCCCAGCCCCAAGGCTTCCCAGCCACAATTAGAACCCTTCCCCGTCAACTAGTTGATTACCAAATGCCAAACATCAAGTAAAAATAATTATGAGATGAAAAAGCATTACCATAGGGGCTTGGCTAAGACTTCATGATGCTGCTTTAAATATTTTTTGTACCATCCAGTTACCATGAATTTCCATCTACTTACCATGAATGTAACTTACAGACAGGTCCGACTAGACTGATCGAAATCTAACTGCGACCCTTCCATGTCTTTCATCCCGCATCAAAGCAATCAAGGAAGCACTTTGGATAGCTCGCTGGTCCAAAACTTTGACCCCTTTAGCTAAACACCAAGCCATTCGCAACTCCTTTCGCGTCAAGGCTGTTGATTTATTAATTTTTCCAATAAAATCAGAAAATTCTTTGCAGGACGGAGCCAATTTTGACGGGGGCCGAGACAGCCACCTTCTCTGCTTGGATTTGCTGGGCCGAAGCAGCCCATGCCACTGTGGCCGGACCAGCCACCAGTTCGATGAAGATAGTCTCTGACAGCTCCAAGGTGCGCCTTTGTCTTCTGGTGCTTCTGAAAGTTGATTTTTTGCATTTGGGTCGGCTTTGTGACCTCATAGTTTGCAAAGATGCTGACTGACATGCTTTGGTTACACACTTTGCAGCCAACACCCCATGGCTTGGCACATGTGTCCAACCAAGTTCCGAGCTTTGGAGATTTCAAATGGGGAATTGTGAGCCCCATTTCAACCCCAAGGCAGCCCACTTTGAACTGTGATTTGTCATTGCCGAGACAGCAATGCTTGACAACTATTGAGCCCAAATACAACGACAAACAATATCAATAGCCTAACAAACATATCAAATATTTCTTCAACCTTTCCAACGAGAAAAAAATGAATGGAAAGAACCAAAGGAAAATAAATAAAAATTATCTAAGAAATTGGAAAAGATATCCTCGTGGTAATTTCGATTGTAGAATTGGTGAATTTGTGCATAATTTAAATGATTTTTTTTCCCGAGAGCGTCTGAGCGCAGGGTTCTTCCAATAGTGGGGGTCTGTAAAACATCTTCTCATCTTCACACCTTCTCTCACACCTTCTCATCTTCACATCTTCTCATCTTCACACCTTCTCATCTTCACATCTTCTCATCTTCACATCTTCTTATCTTCACATCCTCTCATCTTCACATCCTCTCATCTTCACATCTTCTCATCTTCACATCTTCTCATCTTCACATCTTCTCATCTTCACATCTTCTCATCTTCACATCTTCTCATCTTCACATCTTCTCATCCTCCCATCTTCTCCTCATCTTCTCATCTTCACATCTTCTCACATCCTCTCACATCTTCTCACATCTTCTCACATCTTCTCACATCTTCTCACATCTTCTCACATCTTCACACATCTTCTCACATCTTCTCATCTTCTCACATCTTCTCACGTCTTCTCACGTCTTCTCATCTTTACATCTTCTCATCTCACACCTTCTCCTCTTGCCCTCTTGCCCTCTTGCCCTCTTGCCCTCTCCTTCTTTTCTATTTCTTTCTTGAAGGCGGGAGCAGGGGCAGTGGCAACGAGACGGCACGAAACGCAACCCTTTCGCACGAAATGAGGTTCGATCGTCAAAAACTGAGGTAAAATTGCGATTTCAACTTGTCCCGCGCAACCCTTTCGCACGAAATGAGGTTCGATCGCCAAAAACTGAGGTAAAATTGCGATTTCAAGTCGTCCGGCGCAACCCTTTTGCGCGAAATGAGGTTCGATCGTCAAAAATTGAGGTAAAGTTGCGATTTCATGTCGTCCGGCGCAACCCTTTCGCACGAAATGAGGTTCGATCGTCAAAAACTGAGGTAAAGTTGCGATTTCAACTTGTCCGGCGCAACGCTTTCGCACGAAATGAGGTTCGATCGCCAAAAACTGAGGTAAAATTGTGATTTCAACTTGTCCGGCGCAACCCTTTCGCACGAAATGAGGTTCGATCGTCAAAAACTGAGGTAAAATTGCGATCTCAACTTGTCCGGTGCAACCCTTTTGCACGAAATGAGGTTCGATTGTCAAGTTTCGCAGGAGAAGGCTGAAATGAAATCATTGGCGCATAAGCCTTTCTTTTCGGGAAATAAGCTTCTGCTGTAATGGAACAAGCCAGGTGACTCACGCCCAGGTGCTTTGCAACATCGATGTGATACAACCGAACTTGTGGTTGCAGCGGCAGAATCATGTCATCCGTCCATGAATCTTGCCTTTCCTTATTGATCGGTGTATGCTGCATATATATATAAATAGATAATATAAGCCTAATCCTGTTTGAGTTCGATCAGGTTATTCTATTAGCCTGCTCTTAGCCTCATCCTAAACCTTCCCGTAGGGCCAGCCATTGGGTTTTGATTACATGCCAATGGTGCGAGCACTCGATTTCAGCAGACCCGCGCTTGGGTCAAACATCAATGAAACTCTGTCCTTTCCGTTTTGCTCAAATTATCCCTGTTTTGTTTGAATTATTGATCGTTTTCTGGTCAAATTCCTCCTAAGGCATTTTGAAGAGAAAACAAAGGAAAAAACAACAAAACGC